TTTGCTCCTCCTCCTGTCTCTCCCTCTCCTCACGCTCCTCCTCCTGTCCCTGCTGCTGCTGCTGCTGCTGCTGCTGCTGCTGCTGCTGCTGCTGCTGCTGCTGCTGCTGCTCCCGCTCCTCCTCCTGTCCCTGCTGCTGCTGCTGCTGCTGCTGCTGCTGCTCCCGCTCCTCCTCCTGTCCCTGCTCCTGCTGCTGCTGCTGCTGCTCTTTCTCCAGCTTCTCCTCCTCATCCTCCTCCATCCCCTTATCTCCTTCACCATCTCCCATCCCATCCTTCTCCTCTCCAGCACTAGCCGCCGCCATTACTGCAGCCTGATCCGCCTGTACAGGAATCGGTAGCAGGAAGAGACGACCTTGCTGCTCCTGCCCTTCGTCGTCGAACATCAACTGCTCCTTAGGGGTGTAATCATTCCCTCCGTCTTCGAGCAGCTCCTCCCTTCCTCTCCCTCCCTCCTTCTCCTTCCTGTGGCTGTACGAGATTTTGTGCCGTTCCTCCTCCTCCTCCTCCTCCTCCTCCTCCTTCCCCTTGTACCTCAAGTCCACCAGCCCGGGCCTGTCCCCGTCTGGACTGACCAGCTCCACCCGCTCCTTTATCTCGCTCCTTTCCAACTTGTTCTCCCACTCCAGCTCCCTCAACCTGCTCTCGCTGTAGCTCTGCGTCGACCTGATCATTCTCTCCAGCTTGTTCCACGTCGCATCATCGACGTACTTGGAGTCGTTCGACCTGCCGTCTCCTCCCTCCACCTTCTCCTCCCTCCTCCCTCCTCCCGTCCCCGACGTCTCGGACTTGCGCTGCTCCCCGCTCCTCCTCTCGCTCAGGTTCACTTGGCCGCCGACGTCACTGAGGGCGATCAGGGAGAACTCTGTACTGAACCAGTAGGAGTCGAGGATGCTGAGGTCAGTCGCCGTCGATCCCGTTGACACCTCCTCCTCCTGCCCCCTCAACTGCCTCATCTTCTCCTGCGCTGCCCCCACAAACTCCTTCTTTGCCCTCTTCAGCAGCTCCCTCAGCTCGCTGCTGCCATGGATCCAGTCAGCCTCCCACCTCCCCCTGCCCTCCTCCTCCACCTCATCGATTTGACGGCCTGGAAGTCGCTGGAAAATTTCTTGACGATGAGGAGCGAAGTGTCTCGGGCGACGGAGTGCAACTTCGTCTCGTGGGGGACCTTCTCCTTCCTCCCCTCCCTCCTCCCTTCCTCCCCATCCTCCTGCTCCACGTTCCAACCCGTCAGCCACACCGCTGCCAACCTCTCAGCTCTTACCCGCTTCAAGGCTTGATCTTCCTCCGCCAGTTGCTCCAGGTGATACTTGATGTGGTACCAGGGGTCTTGCTCGTCCTTACATGGCAGTCAGGATTTCATGGCTGACAGGACAAGGAAACATGTACCGGAGACTCGAAGTCCGTTCCATGCACAACCCTTGATAGGCTGACAATCTGTGAATATCACTCAGTTCGGTTTCTATCATCATCATCATCATCATCATCATCATCATCACCATCATCATCATCATCATCATCATCATCATCATCATCATCATCATCATCATCATCTCGTCCATTTCTCACCTTCTCATTCGACTTCATTCAGTCTTCTCCTCTCGCCTTCCTATCGCCTCTGA